AAAAACAAACAAAATTATAGGAAAAGCTTCACGTTAAATTAAATTTAAAATCCATATACCTATGGTATTCAAAGCATGAATAAATATTAATGAAAAAAATTAATACAATATAAAAAAAACACGCAATTTAAATGTTTCGGCTGGCACCAATCAGCCATCATCAATGTAATTTTTAACATAACACTGATATTGCCTTAATGATGATTGGCTGATGCCAGCCGAAAAATATAAATTGTATTTTGTATTAACATTGTACGTTTTTTATTTATTCATGCTTATAATAACACAGGTATGTGGATTTTAAAGAAAAAAATCATTGCTAGATCATTCAAAATTTTAGCATTTTTTTAAAATAAATTCTTCTACAACGATAATAAAATAAACATATAATTAGAATTAAATGAAGATCGCAGAGCTCAATTGGTAAGTATTTCACTAGGATGTTGTGCCTTGCATCACTTGGAACCTTAAAAGATTCTAATAAACAGATGAGCAAGCACGTGCCTCTTGCAGCACGCAGTATAGACTTTTGAAATATGTGATGAAAATACAGTAAGTATTAATTTTTTCTTTCAGGTTTCACTCACCTATTGATGGAAGGAGTTGTTGTGTGTACTCACAGAAATCTGTCACCATCCCACCCACTGTTTAAACTCATGGCTCCACATTTCTTGTACCTTCTTGCTATCAATGCGTAAGTTACTTTCCTGGTATTGTAAAGTAAGTTATGTTAAGTATAATATTTATAGGGTTTTTTAATTCTTTCTAATTTACCATACAGTAACCTGAATTAATTTAGGTGTATTCATTATTCGATGTTATACAGCAGACCAACTGTTTAATGATATAGCAAGTCAAGCGTCATAAACCCCCCAGGTCATATCAGGCTTCGTGTTTCGTAATTACTCAGACTGAATAATTTGAAAGATAAACGTAGACACATTGCTCAATATTATATTTATTAAGATATAAAACAAGTTCTAAACAGTATCTAAATTATTAGATAAAACAACTTTGAAACGAAATTAAAAGTCGCTTGCTAGTACTTTAGAATGGTGACACGGGTTTATGAGAGAGGGGCGTTATACACTGTTGTGTTTTTTTATTTTTCTTAAATATAATAATGTTTATGTGTTATTAATCTAATCCTGAAACACTCTTCAAAATCTGTGCCAATGAGCCTTGAATATGCAGTCCACAACAGAATGTACGGCCAATCAAGGAATGCATTAGGCCTATACGTTACAGATTCTTTTCAGTTTTACCTTTGGTGAAAAGAAAAGAAATCTGTAACATATATCAGTTGATGTTAGTGTTCCTTTTCTGTGACTAAATTATCAAAGTGTACCTTTCAGGAAATTAGCCAGAAATTTCAAAAGGAGGGGAGTATATCATGATATTCGAAATGAACAACTGTGCGAAAGGAAATATTTTATTGTTCCTTCAAAAACTCAAATAATAAATGTATCATATATTCTAACTGAAATAATGTACAAAATGAATTTCAGATTTAAAACATTACAAGATGATACGTCGAGACTTGAGGCTTGCAAACGGGTCTATGACGTTACTGATGTCAACTGCCTCTGTTGAATGGAGGTACGGATGAGCAAGGCTATTCAACCTTGTTTCTCTAGTTCTATTGCGGAGATAAGTTTTCAGGAGGCGTAAAGCAGAAAATATTCTTTCAGGTGTAGCAGTTGACACTGGTATGATCATACCCATCATGAGCAAGACATGTAAAGTTGTAAAAACATTTCTGTCTTACGCTCTAAGTGACTGAAGCAAAGTGTCGCCCCCCCCCCCAGTGGCACAGCGGTATGTCTGCGGACTTACAACGCTAGAAACCGGGTTTCGATACCCGTGGTGGGCAGAGCACAGATAGCCAATTGTTTGTTATGTTGTGTGTCCGGAACACATCTCCATTTAGTACGCCATTGTCTAAATTCTAGCAATCCAACCGTATCATTGCAACCAGTATTATTGCTATGTAGAGATAGAGAGTACAATAATTGTAAAAAACTTTCTTCAGCAACTTGCACTGAAATGCAGGCTGTTGTTAGGTGCAACAATGCCGAAAAGAGCAGCCATTTTGGTTTTTTCATTGAATCGCAATGCCAGCTGATTCAAAATACTGTCAAGAAATGGTGAGAAAATCGTAATTCTAAAGTAGGCATAGTCTGTGTTTGTGTCTGGATATTCAATTGACGAATACACTTTCTGGGTTGATCAAGCTTTAGATGAAGTGGAGTAATAGTATCTTTAAGCCATTTCATAACTTGGGAAAAGCGAATTTCTGGTTGTTTCAGAATTTCATTGAGAACTTCAATTATATCATTCACGCTGTCCATAGCACTTTTCAGATCTGAATTTTTCGTTTGAAGACTTTTGCTTACAGCATTTCTGTTAAAGCACAATGACACTGAAGTAAACAACGCAACTAAAAATGTAATGGAAGTGATACTTTTGAGTAGCATGTTGCCTCTGAATCATCCCATAAGTTGATAGACATAAGTGCTCTTGCCACTGCCACGTAGTTGGATATAAAACTTACTTGTGGTGTAAGTCGTTCCACCCACCTTGTTTCTGACATTGATTGACGTTTGTGGGTAGCAGTGATTTATTTGGTCATGATCTTTTCAAGAACTATTTTTTTCTTTTGTTGCTCCTTGAAAAGAAATTGGTTACTTCTTTAACCACCCCACGGATTGGAGGATGTTTAGAAGACTGAACGAAACGCAAGTTTAGTGCATGAGCACCACAATGATAATAGTCATTAAATGGATAACTGGCCTGCCTGCACAGTAGCATTTGCCCCCATATTTTCTGAACTCATTACACTAGCTCCATCATATCCCTGTCCTATTGCTACAAACAATGAAAGCTGGCAATCACTTAGAGTTGCATTTATTCATGTTTAAACAAAGAGTACATGAAAGATGATATTTTAACTAGAGTTGAAGTACAGGAACAAGATGAAATGCCAACAATATTAATGAACCAAAATTGATTGGAAAAGTCACTGGAAATACAATTGTAAAAATAAAATCTTCGCGAATATCGCTCATCTCTTGATCGAAATATCTTATACATTGTGACAATTATTCAGTGCCAGAAAAATCAGTTCTTTCATCTGATAAAATGTAATAAAAGCCAGCTTGTTGTACTCGAACAATAATTTTCTCTTTTAATTGATTTCCTCATTTAGGTCATTCTGAATTTCAGCTGATGCATAGCATGCATTTCGTGATGTCTTCACTATTTGGTCTTGAAGATGATTATCACCAGCATGTATGCGAAAATTCAGCAATCTTCGAAAGTTTCCTTCGCCTTCTTCCAGTTTCTCTAAATTGATAGTGGCACTATCATTATTACCACGAAGCGGGATATTGTTCTGTCCATAAAATAAAATAGTTTTGACAAATGGTTCTAACCTCCTTCTGTGTTCAGCAGCAGTTTCCGTATATTTGAAGTTGAGTTGTTTGTAAATATCTATTTCCTGTCTTCCCTGCTGCAATAACATATTACATCTTTCTTCTGCAAACTTGTGATACTCAGTGTTCAAGTGAGTTTGTAAACCAACTGTTAATCTATCGTACCTGTCCAACCCCCTTTTTAACCAGTTTGCCAAGAGGAGTACACGTTCTATGATGTACGATATCTGCCCTACACAGATACACATTTTGCAAAACAAACCACCCAGATGTTCACTTTAAGCAA